TTTGGCAGTCTTCAGGGAAGATCGTACCCCGCATCAGTCCACCATGTGTCCAAGGTAATTTTAACAACTTATTGACTGGCGGTAATTGATGTTAATTACTAGGGTATAGCCAGTTGCGTACCTCTTCTTCTGAACTACGGTAATCACCTCGTTCTTGGTGCTGACAGTCTGGGATGTGCGAGAGGTACCATGTCAGTACCCGAGGGCCTTGGACCTTTTACCGTAGTTCCTCTAACAAGCACAAAGAGTGATCTTCGTTTAACAGCTTTTATTCCCACTTTGTATTGCCAGTCAACCCACGCTATTTGTCACTTAAGTACGAGACTTCGGCCGCAAAGCTTCAGTCTCAGTCGAAATGCTGAAGTTTAAGTTTGGTTTCTGTTTCGAAAGATCGTGACAACAAGCCGAGAACGGAGCACCAGTCCAGATGTCGTCTCCCCAGCCGCTCTCCCGATCTGGAGGCTTTTTTGCCGAGAGCGAGCACCAGTCCAGATGTAGTCTCCCCAGCCGCTCTCTAGCCCTACCTAGCCGCTCTCTAGCCGTCCCTCGATTTGGGGCTTTTGGCCCTTTTTAAACCGGTACCTACGTCACAGCTCTAGTCATTTTTCCATCTATCATTGGCCAACCACCTTTCCCCCCTACATTAGATCATTCTAACCCATTCTTATCTAATAACCAGCACCTTATTCGGACTTGTTATGATGTAGCTTCTCACCCTTTTGGAATTCGAACTATACCATATATGTCTCAGGTCCCTAACATCGCAGTCCCTCTCATCTCCGTTCCACTTTTTGTCTACTTCCCATCTGGTTAATCGTTTTTCATTAATGTATAACCCTCGACCTACTACCCTCACCCCTGGTTATTCGGGGCCAAGTATGTTCCCTGTAGTCTTCAACTATCGGAGTTGCCCGTCTGATATATCATAATATATATATATATATATATATATATATATATATATATATATATATGTTGTGTTCATATCTTACTGGTTTCAACTCCTCTTCTTGACCTTTTTATACAATCACGTTGGTGTCCTAATGAATTGTTAATTACTTTAATTAGTTGTTAATTACTGTACTTTCATGCCTATAATATATAATCGAGCGTGTTTATTAGCGTAAGAAAGCCTGAGTGAAGAAAATAAGAATGAATTTTGAAAAAAAAGGGCCTGAAAGATTGGAGTTGGTTATGACAGACTGCAATATTTTCCGATGGAGGTGCGACTCCCAGATGGCAAATTGACTGCGGATAAAGGGGCAATGTTGCACACCTGGGAGGAGAATTACAGTAGTCAACTGAACGGGGCCGACATGACCACACCGACGCCCACCCATGTGTTGAATGTGCGGAGGAGAGTCACGAGATACTTATGTGCTCCAGTGGAACAGTCCGTTCACTAACGATGAAGTGGTGCTATACCCTCAGCAAGTAAAGGAAAATACCTGGGATGCGAGAATCTACCCACTGAAATGCTGAAGAATACAATGTGCATGGATACACCTTTTTACACAGCATGTTAAATATTTGTTTTGTAAATTGAAAAATGTCGAGTGAACGAATGAAAGTCATTATCAACCCTATCTCGAAATCCTGTTGACAAATATAACCCTAAATCCTACATTTAGTAGTATATCACTTACTAACGCGAGCCATTAACTGCACTGTTCTGTTTTATATAAGAGACTGTACAAGTACGCAGAGAACAGTAATTGTTTATCTGACGAACAAAACAGTTTCAGGAACAGAAGGTCGACAGTGAAATACATTTCATCGTTAACATCTGTGGAATCGTTGATATCACTCAAGAAATCAACTTTCTAACCCTTAATTGACTGAAAACAATCTAACGATTATACTGACAGGGCTATTTGGTGGAGAAAGTTTAGTTGACCTTGGTACATGTAGACAAATGCAGGACGCTATTGTATCTTTATATACGAGTGTCAGTTGTTGTGTGAGGCTTAATGAGAATTTAACTCTGTGGTTCAATGTTAGATGTGGTTTGAAGCAAGGGTGCTTACTTTCCCCTTTGTTGTTCGATATATACATTACAGAACTCATTGCTACTTTAAATTAATTGGATAAGTGTGTGAGGATCGACGACGAGAAGCTGTGTGTATTAGGCTGTCCAGACGACATCGTACTTCTAGCGGAGGGGCGGTTTGGTAGCCTAGTGGTTAAAGCGTTCGCTCGTCATGCCGAAGACCCGGGTTCGATTCCCGACATGGGTAAAATGTGTGAAGCCCTTTTCTGGTGTCCCCCGCCGTGATATTGCTGGAATATTGCTAAAAGCGGCGTAAAACCATACTCACTCACTCACTCACTTCTAGCGGAATATGAAGCGGACCTAAACCTCTCTAAGAATGTCTTCAAAACTTGTTCGATGTTAACAAAATGACTGTGAACCAGAAGACATCTAACATTCTCCACTACAGAAGTTTGTCAACACAAAGGACAAACTGTAATTTTAAATGTTGAATATACCTCTTGAGATTGCTGACAGTTACTGTTAACTGGGATAATTAATAACACTGCATTGAGATAACACACGCATGACTAAAGCAGTGGCAAGCTCGGCCATTAGGGCGCTGGGATTACTAATGTCCAAATCCATATTCCTCGGTAGTATGCATTTGAACACCTACACAAAGATGTACGACTCAATGGTATGGTAAAAGATTGAACATGATCAGCGACTTGGGTAGTAGTAATTTATCATCAGTGAATGCTGTGCAAAATAAAGCAATGACGTTTTTTTATGGGTCTACGACAATATGCCCCGAATGCTACTATTGAGGGTGATATGGGCTGGACCCCTACTACAGTTTAGTTCTGTGGGAATGTTTCATATATACACAAGACTGAATAGCCTAGTCAAGAATGGACTCACTTACAAGGTGTTCCAATGGGCTAGACGGCAAGCTTTAAATAATAAGAACAACTAGATCAAGCGTATACGGGTCAAATTGAATGCTATAAACCTCCCTGAATTTCAAAGTGTTTGGCGTTTCAAACGGACCCAAGATTAAACATATTGCATCTTCTGTACAGAACTTCATTTTCAAGAAATATAAAGAATATTGGAACGGGACAATAATGTGTCATGATAGTAGAAATGACGGGAAGAAATAATCTCCGAGTGTACCGCACCTACATTACAGACGGTACTCCACCCACCCACAGGAGACAGACACAGGCCGGCATGCAATTAGCCAATTAGCACGACTGTTACAGAGGATGAGATGCAAGTACCTTTACGTGCATGGAAACGTGCTGGCTATTTTCAACAAATCATATCTTGTCAAGATTAGCAAAATGTCATCTAAGGGACTTTGGACGTTTGGGTCAACGCAAAAAAAGGTTTTACGCAACAGAAGTGCGGTCATCTTCAGCACCTTTCGATCGTAAACATATGAAACAAAGATCTCATCATTGCGTATAACAACCAAACTGAATATGCCTTCAACTATCAAATTTAGAACGGAAATTTCTGCCAATTATGAAACGAACTCTTACATTGAAACTTCTATCTTCCAAATTAAGTAATGCTTGTGCGACATTTTTAATATATATATATATATATATATATATATATATATATATATATATATATATATATATCGCTTGTGGTAATTTCATTATATCCTCTATATACGCGTTTGAACTTTGTGCATGGGTTTGGAAAATTACTAATTTTTAAAAATGGATTCCAATTATTGAATGGATTGGCAAGTCATGCAGCAAATTGACATGATACTTTCAGACAGACGGTATGCAATACAAAATGTTTCAGCTTGCTTTGACAACCCGATTGCATCAGTCAGGTACACGACTGAAGCGCACGCAAACACTTTCCAAGGGAGTTAACTCCCTGATCTTTTCAGTATAAATAGCCACAGCTTTAACAATATAAACGCGGAAAATAAATGCTTTCTTCAGATTGCTTGCTCTTTTACAGAAAGTTCTTAAATTTTGTTTTACCAGAAGGTTCGTAGCATTTTACTAGGGGAAATTATGTTTTGGTTTTAATTGGTTCAACAAAACTAAACTATAAATATTCTGGTTCGTAAAACTAGTATCTCATTAGGAAAAGTATGTCTACTCAAAATATTTATGATCTCTATGTTCACAACATGTCTGTACGACTGCAAAACTTTTAACTAACTGTGATACCTGGTTTATCTACCTTAGCAAACCTTTATATCTTCACAGATGTGTAGAGATGAAATTACAATTTTATCAACAAGTAAAGAATTTTTATTATCTTTGATATATCTTTTTAGAAACGATACCCGCACTATGGTGTAGAGTTAACATTTTGGGGAGTAATGTACAATGTAGCGTAGCGCAACTGAGACCGGGAACCAGGTTTGTGTGTAGGAAATTAATAGACCTATCAGCGTTCGCGTCTCACGGCGGAGAAGGGAGTTTTCCAGGCGTGTATATTGCACGGCATTGGTCCACCATTTGCACGATATCGTGTATATAGACGGTCCGCCTTTACATTGCCCCTCATATCAAAACCATTCAAGTTCTTTATTTGCCACATGTTCAGCTTCAAATAACAATTTCTTAAGTTTTACAAATGCTGACAAACCAGCGTTTATATTGCCAAACGCAAATATTATGAGAATTAGTTCCAAAACCTGCACGTAAATATTCCTGGAACGAATTTTTTATTTGTGTGACAATTAAACGTTTTGTTTATATCCTACCCGTTATATCGTATACATTCACACACACACACACACACACACACACACACACACATATCCGTACATGTCGAATAACCATCTACAATAACAACGACGGCGAGTATTATTTGTCAGTGTCCAAATTGAAAAGAAAAAACACATGCTGCTTTGGACTTGGCGCTGTTCTTAGCAACAACCTTGAAACACAGCTTATCTTATCAGTTCCACGCGGTGGGGGCAGGCTAATCAGTCGGGGGTCCGAGCCAAGGGTCAGACTATATCCAGCAGGGTTAACGTATCGACTCCCACAGCTTGTGTAAATGTACGCGCACCTTTCAGCGATTGCATCCGCTCCCGTCCCCGATCGGTATGGATTTCTTGAGGGAACCATATACAGCTAAATCACGTGACTAATAGCAATCGTTAATGCGCAGTTAGGTTATCACTGAAGCACTCTGAATAGGAGATGTTTCCCACATGAACACAAGACACCACGCCACGGCAGTCGTACACAGGGTCCAGCAAGGCGTTCATGTTTCGGAAGCGACGCGTGTTACTGGGTCACGATTTCCTGCAGTTTGAAGGGAATCGTGTTGGCTGGGATTCTACCGTCAGCATCAATATTGTGAGTATAAACCATGTGTTTTCAATACGGTGAAACCTCCTCAATTGCGATATAATCTAGATAATCTCCCACGTACGCCCATGCAATTGTTGCACTGATGTTTAAAGTGGGGCGGAGGTAAGATCTATTACAGTGCATATATTTCATTATACTTTTTATATTTTTCACAAATTAAACTTAAACTAGGAAATTATAAAATTCGAAAGACGCTAGACCAGTATTTCTCGTTTTTTTCGCCACTGGTCGACCATGACGGCTGCTCCTTGGCAAGCTCATTCACGCGAACAGTAAATTACGTAATCATAGATACAGATACAGATATAGTCCGCGCGTTCGTCCGCCCCGGCCCTTGTTCTCTTGATAAATGTTTAGGTACCAGCTGGCGCAGAACCGTGTGCGACATACGCTTGCAGTCGGAAAGCGCACGTTAAATCTCCAATATAAGTAAGTAAGTGGCGCAGGTTTTGACCATCATCTAACCCTGTAATTAAAATAAACTTTTGTTAGGCAATACTGATACTATTCTATCCTGCTTTTGTGTAGTCAACTTTGACAGGCTAGTGCAGATAACAGAGACCGAAATTACAACTTCCAAGTAATTGTTAATGTGATACGGGTAGAGCTGTGGGGGTATATAACTCCTTGGGTGTTGGTCCTCAGCACACTTGCTTGAATAAACCCTAAGGACCTCCCAGCTCTCTTCTCTTGTTTAAGGGTAAGAAACATTTAAATATTCCTTTTTTATGACTAAACTTCTTATTTCATTGTTATTATTGTCTAGAAAATGTTACAGTTAAGTTGAATCAGTACTGCCATATTGTAACTCTCAATCTACTGTGTACAAGTTCTAAATAACTGCTCATTGTATATAATTTACCGTTTAATACTCAGGCGTTTTGTCATTAATATGCGGCACCAATAGCTCTCTCCTATATTTCGACATCCATGATTATATTCCCCTACTATGTCTAACATCATCTGTTCAAAATGCCAGATGCATATACAGTTTATATATTCCGTGCAGTAGCGTAGCGTACATGTAGCCTAGTCACAAAACGGTTCCTAGAGTTAACACAACTGTTTCAAGCAAGATTTATTTTATACGTAGGTCGGTTATTCCTTAATTTCCGACAGTCCACCGATCAAAGGTTATATGAGCAGCTTTACCTTCCGTGTGCGCTTACAGAATAGCCTATAACAACGCATTCCATATTTCTTAGGTTTTATCCTCATTAAGTAAGTATTTGAATATTTTGTAAAGAGTCCCATCCCTCATATAGTTGCATACGCTGCATCACAGCCTATACCACAATTTCATTACCGTAGTCATTTAAATACTGTTATAGTCATCCTTTATACTTCATAACAACGTACATTCAAACGCGCATCGTATAAGTATACAATTACCGTATTTACTCCATTAGCTGTTATCGTCTAGCTCCGTATATATTTAGGAAATGCGCGTAGTCAATAGCAACACAGCCGCCGTGATTCATTACCGTAGTCACCAAATTAATCACTACTAAAACTAATAATTACACTAACTAAAACCGAGCTATATCTTCTACCGCGTACATTCGTATCTTTATTTGGATCAAGTATTTACTTTCCGAATTTGCCGAAATTATTATGTTGTGATATTTTTTACTGAAACTACAAATATTAATGTTTACCGTCTTTTCATAAGTAAATGTCATGTTTTTTCATCTAAGCAGTTTGCGCAGTCTACCGTACATGCTCTATTAAAATGTTACGACTACTCAATTTAGCTGTTAAGAAATGTTATTTGTCATTACCGTTATCATTCTAGTAAATACTGCATCTGTTGTATAATGTTACCGTACATACTCCAATATTAAATACATTGCCTTTATTGTTATGCCTTTATTGGATGGACACCGTGTTAGCATATTATTATCATTATTATCATTGTACGTCACTGTTATATATTAATTGATGTAACTTGAATGATACACACTTGCTTGAATAAACCCTAAGGACCCCACAGCCTTCTCCTCTCTTGTTTCAAGGCTAGCTCCCAATAGCCAATTCCCCGTATCGAGGCCGGACAGGGTATTTATTTGTTGGCGGATACTTTTCAAACTAAACCTTTTTAACCATATCGTCTTTTCGACTCTTATTGTGATCACTAGAAGTGATACACATGTTACCTTGCATTGACCGGGGAGGTCCGGGGTAGAAAAGGTCTTCCAACAACCCATACTTGCCTTAAAAGGCGACTATGCTTGTCGTAAGAGGCGACTAACAGGACTGGGTGGTCAGGCTCGCTGACGCTTTGATTCGTTTCAAGTGGTGCAAGTGTTTCTACCTAATATTCAAATGTTCGAGGGTATCGTAATGGTGGCATAATGTAAATAATTTTTATTTTATCAACTTAAAACAGGTCGTTGGCATTTCATTGGCATTTTAATTAATTTGTCCGTGTGCTAACTTCCTTATTTCAATGTTGCGATGGTTCGGTGCAGATACTAACTATTGTATCTTTCATTACATACATTTTATCTTTTTTAACAAACAAACCTTGCATTCAGATACAGTTTTCTGATTGGTTATTGAATATGCAATTATTTCCCATGTTTCCCGCTGACAGATAAGGAACAAATTCTATATACCCCGATGAGAAATGCCGAACGTCTTTCAAATGTGAGTGAGTGAGTATGGTTTTACGCCGCGTTTAGCAATATTCTAGCAATATCACGCCGGGAGACACCAGAAATGGGCTTCACACATTATACCCATGTCAGGAATCAAACCCGGTTCTTCGGCGTGACGAGCGAACGCTTTAACCACAAGGCTACCCAACCACCCCCTTTTAATAATAACATAATGATATGACAATATTGTCTCGATACTGGTTGCCACTTTCATGCAGTTCAGCGAATTCAACCGGGCATGTCTGATTGTAATGCAAGGGCGACTACTCTGGATGTGTTTACGTCGTCTGCTAGAGATGTCCATGAGACGGTTAGCTTGTCATACTGAAGAAGACAGTTATGGATCTATAGTGCGTGTCTGTACACACGCTCGCAAGCAGTGAGCTTGAACACCTGAGCCACCACCTCGCACCAGAACAACAACAGCAACTTCTATTTAACCTTGACAATAAATGTTAGAAGAGGTCTAGGGGCGGTCGGGTAGCCTAGTGGTTAAAGCCTTCGCTCGTCACGCCGAAGATCCGGGTTCGATTCCCGACATGGGTACAATGTGTGAAGCCCATTTCCGGTGTCCCCCTCCGTGATTTTGCTGGAATATTGCATCAAGCGGCGTAAAACCAAACTCACTCACTCACTCACTAGAAGAAGTCTTCAGGAACCCACGCTTGTCGTAAGAGGTGACTAACGGAATCGGGAGGTCAGATTCGCTGAATTGGTTGATGCATGTCATCGTATCCCAATTGCGTCATTCGTTGCTCATGATGCCAATCACTGGGTTGTCTGGTTCAGACTCGATCTTTTTACAGTCCGCCGTCATATAACTGGAATAATACTGATTGCCAACAGCCAACTAATGTCTAACTTATTGAAATGAAGTCATGGCTGGAAAAGCTTGTATTCAATTACTGTATGAACCTTTTACAGATTGAGTGGTTTGTGGAGTTCTTCACGAATGCGGGGGCACGGGTGGCCCAGTCGTCTAAGGCGCCGCGATTCGTTGTGCAGAGTTGCGTCCCTTGGCACGCCAGAAACCTATGATTGTGGGTTCGAATCCCAGTTCGCCCCGATTATGTTTCTAGGTTTGTCAGCACCATACCCGTGCTCATGGGTTTCACCGAAGTGGTAAACGTCTGAGACCTGCATCACTTCGGGCTTTCCTCCCAGATTAAGCTGTCACGCCGCGATATGACTGGAATACTGTTAAAAGCGGCGTAAAACCCAACTCACTCATTCACTCACTCTTCACGAATGAGCCCACGAAATAATGACAAACTGGCATCAAGGTCAAACAACGCGTGCCTTTGGTATGTGTAATATCTGTAATTGAAACAGTAGTTTTAAACTAGCTATTGTATAATATTATGACAGGCCAACAGATGTCCGCTCTTGTAATGTGATTAGTAGCAGGTAAGCGCAATCATGTGCTGTTATGTAACATGCGACAGTCTTGAATAAACGGCCAGTCAAGTGGCAGCCTCGTCTCCCAACTCCCGCGTCTGTCGTTCCTCCCTGAGAACCCAACAGTATGCAAACCGCTTGATGCGTCCCGATCAATAGGAAACTATGTCAGTTTGGCCGACTACGTTAGCGTTGCGTTTTCGCGATCTGATCGTTAGCTATTTTCGCCATATTTTTGAAAGAGGTTCCTCGTGAAGTAGGGTGTTTCAAAGAGGAACTGTGTTTGGGCGATTACTCGTGTATTGTACAGTCAACATTTATGAATCTTTGGGTTGCATACGGTTCCATTTGTTGCTTCACTTTTTGTTGCATATTAGCTTGCAACCTGTGATAACATTCAAGGCCTCACATAAGCTTTAAGACAGGTTTATGGTAGAAGAAGTTTCTGGTTCGGTGGGGAACATAGGCAACCAATGTACTGTAATGTCATGTTAATGTTAATGCTCTTAGTGAAGCCAATATATATGCGTATATAATGTTAATGCCCTTAATGAAACCGATGCATATGCGTATATCATGTTAATATTGGTGCTCTTAGTGAGACAATTTATATATGTATGTCATGGTAATATTGATGCTCTTAGTGAAGCCAATATATATGCGTATATCATGTTAATGCTCTTAATGAAACCGATGCATATGCGTATATCATGTTAATGCTCTAAGTGAAGCCAATGTATCTGCGTATGTCAGGTTAATGCTGATGCTCTTAGTGAAGCAAATATAAATGCGTATGTCCTGTTAATGCTCTTAGTGAAGCCAATGTATATATGTATGTCATGTTAATATTTGATGCTCTCAGTGAAGCCGATGCATATCCGTATATTTTATGTTAATGCTCTTAGTGAAGCCGATGCATATGCGTATGTCATGCTGATGCTGATGCTCTTAGTAAAGCCAATGTATATGCGTATGTCATGTTATGTTCTTACTGAAGCCAGTGTATATGCGTGGATTATGTTACTGCTCTTAGTGACGCCGATGCATATGCGTATATCATGTTAATGCTCTTCGTGAAGCCAATGTATATTACGTATGTCACATAAATGCTGATGCTCTTGGTAAAGCCGATGTATATGCGTATATCATGATATTCTTAATGCTCGTAGTGAAGCCGATGCATATGCGTATGTCATGTTAATGTTAATGCTCTAATAAAGCCAATGTATATGCGTATGTCATGTTTATGCTCTTAGTGAAACCAATGTATATCCGTATGTCATGTTAATGGTAATTCTCTTAGTGAAGCCGATGCATATGCATATATCATGTTTATGCTCTTAGTGAAGCCCAAGAATATCCTAATATCATGTTTATGCTCTTAGTGAAGCCAATGTATATGCGTATGTCATGTTAATGCTCTTAGTGAAGCCAATGTATATACGTATATAATGGTAATGTTAATTCCCTTAGTGAAGTCGATACATATGCGTATGTCACGTTAATGTTACTGCTCTTAGTGACGCCGATGCATATCCGTATATCATGTTTATGCTCTGAGTGTTGCTCTTAATGCTCTTAGTGAAGCCGATGCATATGTGTATGTCATGTTAATGCTCTTAGTGAAGCAAATATATATGTGTAGATCATGTTAATGCTGATGCTCTTAGTAAAGCCAATATATATGCGTTTGTCATGCTAATGCTCTTAGTGAAGCCGATCCATATGCATATGTCATATAAATGTTAATGCTCTAAGTGAAGCCAATGTATGTGCGTATATCATGTTAATGTTAATGCTCTTAGTGAAGCCTATGCATATGCATATATAATGTTAATGCCCTTAGTGAAGCCAATGTATATGGGGGTGTCATGATAATATTGATGCTCTTAGTGAAGCTAATGTATATGCGTATGTCATGTTAATGTTGATGCTCTTAGTGAAGCCAGTGTATCTGATGTATGTCATGTTAATGTTGATGCTCTTAGTGAAGCCGATGTACCTGCTGTATGTCATGTTAATGTTGATGCTCTTAGTGAAGCCAATGTATCTGCTGTATGTCATGGTAATGTTGATGCTCGTAGTGAAGCCAATGTATCTGCTGTATGTCATGGTAATGTTGATGCTCGTAGTGAAGCGGAATGAATGAAGGAAGGAAGGAAGGAAGGAAGGAAGTTCTTTATTTCCTCCAGAGTTGAATCCGAAGAGGTTACATAGGAAAATACATTATTTACAATACATCAATGAAATTACCTGACTATATACAATGACATCATGTTATACAGTGCTATGAATAAACAATTTACAATGTACATTTTGTGAACAGTAAGGTATCTGGTAGATATACATAAGGTAGTTCTTCAAATTATAAAGTGACATAAAGACAGTATGATGCTTTTCCAAGTATCGGAATCGATTTCGTTTGTCAAGTCATGGACATCTGCACCGAGAAAGAGTGAAAGCACTTCATCATCGTCAAGCATATCTATTTTCACAAGTACATCAACATCAAGTTTATCAATCAGGCATGAGACGAAATGATTTTGGCAGGCATAAACAATCCACAGTGCAAATATATCACGTGTACCATATAATAGACCACGTACATTTCATGTAAGAAGACTAAGCGTCACAACTGAAGACACAAGGGACATGATTGAGTCATGTTTAAGTTGATGCTCTTAGAGAAACCGATGTATCTGCATATGTCATAATGCTCTTAGAGAAGCCGATGTATCTGCATATGTCATGCTGCTCTTAATGAAGCCGATGTGTATGTCATATTAAAGTTGATGCTCTTAGTGAAACCGGTGTATATGCGTATGTGATGTTAATGCTGATGCTCTAGGTGAAGCCGGTGTATATGCGTATTCCATGTTTATGTTGATGCTCTTAGTGAAGCCAATGTATCTGTCACGTTAATGTTGATGCTCTTAGTGAAGCCAATGTATCTGTCACGTTAATGTTGATGCTCTTAGTGAAGCCAATGTATCTGTCACGTTAATGTTGATGCTCTTAGTGAAGCCAATGTATCTGTCACGTTAATGTTGATGCTCTTAGTGAAGCCAGTGTATCTGTCACGTTAATGTTGATGCTCTTAGTGAAGCCGATGTATATGTCACGTTAATGTTGATGCTCTTAGTGAAGCCAATGTGTATGTCACGTTAATGTTGATGCTCTTAGTGAAGCCGATGTGTATGTCACGTTAATGTTGATGCTCCTAGTGAAGCCGATGTATATGTCACGTTAATGTTGATGCTCCTAGTGAAGCCGATGTGTATGTCACGTTAATGTTGATGCTCCTAGTGAAGCCGATGTGTAGGTCACGTTAATGTTGATGCGCTTAGTGAAGCCGATGTGTATGTCACGTTAATGTTGATGCTCCTAGTGAAGCCGATGTGTATGTCACGTTAATGTTGATGCTCCTGGTGAAGCCGATGTGTATGTCACGTTAATGTTGATGCTCCTAGTGAAGCCGATGTGTATGTCACGTAAATGTTGATGCTCCTAGTGAAGCTGATGCATATGTGTATGTCATGTTAATGGTGATGCTGTGTAATCCATTATTTTGAACTTTCATTTCTTTTCAGAGGTAATAATTCGAGACACAAGAATGCATCTCAGCTTCCAACGCTGCTGGCAACGTACTGTAGTTTTCATTTTCTCGTTGGTTCTTATAGCCCTCGTCTACTCATATATAATCAAGGGAACTCTAAGTGAAAATACATTTCAAGTCTTGACCGGAAAAGTACAAGTTTCTTATGGGTATAATGACAGTGCTTCAGTAACACAAACCCCTCCTGAGGAATATTTCGTCAGGCCTCGGTGGGAAAAAAAATATTTCATCTATGACTGTGCCAACGGTAACTGTGGTGGTCTAGGGGACAGACAGGAAGGAATTGTCGGTGCTTTCATTATTTCACAAATGTTAAGCCGGAAGTTCAAAGTGAACATGCTGGTTCCATGTGATATCGGAAATTTCCTCCAATCAAACCAAGTTGATTGGATTCTACAAAGTTCTGAAATTAGTGGCATCAAAAGTAGCAAATACACCCGAATTGACGCTGATGCATTTCAGCTACGAGATAAAATTGCAAAATCTCTTGATTTAGAGAAAGAATTTCCTTCCGATGTCACACATTTTACTGTTAATCAAGAAATGGTTAACTATCTAAAGTTACATCCACTATTTAAGTCTCTTCGGTGGGCACATAATCAGACAACAACTGACATATACAATATTGTTTTACGACGGTTGTTTAGAATGAAACCTGAAATCCAGAAAAGGTTTGATCTTTATCAATCTTCAGCCCGTAGCAACGGGAGGAAACTCGTGTGTGCTCATGTGCGTGTGAGGGGGAATCCTACAATTCCAAATGATTGGTATACTCCCACACCCTTGAACGTTAGTGTGGTGTGGAACTTCCTCCGCCAGTATAACAACAGCGCCCTCTATCGGATGTTCGTAGCTACAGACTCCCAGAAAGTGCGACAGGACGCCAAGAGGCTGTTTCCAGATGTCATCCAAGATTTGGAAGGGAATATAGTTCATGTTGATCGTGACAATCATGCAAAAGATTACGCATGCGCGGGGTTTGGTAAAGTGATCCTTGATCAACAAACGATGTCATCATGTGACGTATTCCTTATGACAGACAGCGGACTTGGCCGAATCGCATCCATGATGCGAGGAACAGATAAAGACCTGTACTGTATGGCTAGCAATTCCGCCTACAAAAAGTGCTCTTTTAGCGATAAAGGTTTCTTTCCACAGTTCTGGTAGGTGTGCGATAGGTGCCAGTATGTACATAAGCCTGGTGTCTGCTGTAGGACACTGTGTGGAAGCCCGCACTGAATCCTGTTCAGAATAGGTCCCAAATCACACATGTCTGTCGTAAGAGCCTGATGATTGTAATATCAATATCTGGCCCAGACTATATTGCTTACAGGCCGTCGTACGTGATATTGGTAGAATACTAGTATTATTGCCAGTGAAGTTAAACACTTAATAAACAACAAACTGTATCTACATCCAAGAGCAACTACCGGAGATCGGAAGGTCGGTGGTTCGATGATCTGGCCGTGCCATACTAACAGACGTTAATAGATGGTACATGTTGTTACCCTGCCTGACTTCGGAAATTGGGGATTAAAACAAGGACTGATCCGCGCGGACTAGCCTGTCTGAGTAGGGTGTCATGTTAAACTGTGGCATGGTATCACAACGGACTAGCACCATCAACCTGGCCAAATTCCTGACTTGTACAAGCATCCACATACATTGCCCTTTATAAGTGCAATGATCTTGAACACAATGAAACCATACTGATGTATAAATATAAAGTATCAGTGCAGTATCTGAGAATTTAAGCCAATACTGCAGTATCTGCAGAGTATGCCAAAACGGAAGCAGCCCTGTCACCATCTTTCTCCCGTTATTTGACAATCAATCCTTCACAGTTCTGCAGGATAATGATTTGGCCGGATCTACTCCTCAACCCCTCAAAAGCCTACGTCTCAGCCATATTCTAAACAATAGAGGACCCCTTCAACAGTCTTTAGGTTTTATTCGCGTTGAAATGGATATAAAAAATAATAGCACATTTTTCAGTAAAGGATATGGAAATGTATTGATGAAACGGGCCATTACATATGATATAAAATTCTAATATCTAATTACAGCACCAAGGTTTATTGAAAAACTGGCTTCGAGGGAGACTGAAAACTCATTATTCCTGAACAATATACGTATAAGCGATAATGTTAGTCAGGAAAAGAGAAATCAATCATTGTCAGTAGACTTTGAAAAGGCTTTCAACACATTCTATACGGAATTTATGAGCAGATTTTAAAAAAAAGAAAAGCATTTTGACCATATAACATAAAAAGGATATCGGATAGTGCAACCTCATGCATTGCACAGAAGGGCAATTTGTCTTCGTGTTTTCATCATTAAAGAGGATGTAGACAAGGAGACCCGGTAACTCCATATTTATTGCTGCTTGCGATCTTCATTTTCGGAAGTATGCTCAGAAACAAAATATATATTAAAGCATGAAGCTAGACAATTTAGCCCATACGTTGAAAAAGAAGAAAGTTAACCTTAATTCGCTGAATAACTGGCATCAAATCTATATAAAATGTGAACTCCAAGAGAATAACCATTCTCGAGTATCCAACGAAACAGATTCCATTGGGCGTGAAAGGCAATATAGTTGTGAGTGAGTATGGTTTTACGCCGCTTTTAGCAATATTCCAGCAATGTCACGGCAGGGGAAACCAGAAATGGGCTTCACACATTTTACCCATGTGGGGAATGGAACCAGGGTCTTAGAAGTGAAGAGTGAACTCTTTAAGCATTAGGCTACTCCACCGCCATTAAATAACGGTGACAAACCCTTGCATTGTTCAGTGCCCATTCCCCTGAAAGGACAACCAAAATATCTAATATTAGAAAAAAATGCATTTACTGGAACAAAAGACACAATTTAATTATCATTTGCTTTACCAGACATGGGAAGACAAAATAGCTGCCACGTTAACTACACTTGCTTATGATAACGAGAGAATTTGTCCAAGACGTTGAACTTTAAGTTTCAGATGTATCGATGGTCTGATAACGTTCAATAACAGCCAACTAGCAAATTCCCTTCTACTGATTTACACATGGAAGACTATAAGAGGTCAGTGAAAGTGACCCAACTGTTTTGTGCTCAGGTCTATGAATAAGGATTATCCAAGTTTCAAAGGATGCATAAAAGTGTCAAAAATCTATCCACAAGACCGTGCGACAAGAGGGATGACATCAGGTTTCCGGTAGTCATCTTTGCCTTGATGTTGAACTCTATTTCAGCAACATCAGCCTTTGATGTCCACATGTCCCAACTTTTCAGGTATAATCGAAGATGCCCTTGCTATGAGGTGAGGTGAAATTGGGTTTAACGTCGCGTCCAAGATTATTGCACTTATATAGCGACGTGCATGCACGTGTTTGCGTGGCTGCTTGAAATAGTCCGGACTGATGCCGATTAATAGTGCTAGCTCACTGAGATACCATGCCGCAGTTAAACATGAATACCCCACTCAGACACAATATACTGACTCCGAGCCGACCAGTCCATGTTTTAGCCCCTTTATGCCGAGAGCCAGACAGGGTAACAACAAGTACCATCTTTTAACTTCTTTTGGTATGACGCGGCCGGGGATCAAACCCCGGACCTTCCACTCTCCGGGTGGACGCTCTACCACAAAACCACGAAGGCGGCCCCTTTCTATGAGGATTAAAAAGAGCGTCAAACGACTCTTGATCAGAAGCTGATTGATTTGGGGGACAACATTTAAGGCCTCAGTAAAGCTTTCAAAAAGTGTTATGGAAGTCCCCGTATTCCCGTGTTCTTTCAGGTGAACATTTGACTTGCTATACTTGTGTTTGTGACGGGTGTGTTTGTGACGGTGGGGCAGGATACGCTCACCTTTTCGCGGACACTTGGTATCATGGCTATCTGATGGTGATAATTTCAAAACATTAGGTACCATTGGGATTAAATGACTGAAATAGATTTATGACGATACAGTACATTAATATTGTGTAACGGCGTAACGATAGAAGTATTTCGCCACATTGGCGATAGAACATATAGACATCAAACTTTTTGTTGGGATCTGAAGTCATCAAGAAGGCTAGGTTTCATAACGAATCAAACATTTATATTAACTAAGGAAGAGAACATATGGATGGCAACTTCTTTATTATGAGGAACACAACGTTTCGGAGTATATGCTTACTCCTTCATCATTAACCCGATGAAGATATAAGCATATACTCCGAAAGGTTGTGTCCCTCATAATAAAGAAGTTGACATCCATATATTCTCTTCCTTATGTGTATCACTTCTAAATGCCTTTCAAAAACCTGATTAATATTAAGTGTTTTTATAACGAAATATACCGAAAATCAACAGAGTGCTATTATTTCAGCACGAGTACAGGAAATAAGCAGAGAAGTTTTACACCTTACATATTTGCAATTTGCAATCCCAGATACCCTTTAGCAAATACACGTGTACCTATACGTTCTGTAGTTCCCCCGTTGGTGTACGTACCCATGTGAGCCTCACTCACAATGAACACGTTGCTCAAGGCAGGGAGGTATAGAACATCAGGCCTAGATAAAACTTTCAACATAACAACCATTTGCATTTTGAGAAATACATCAAGACCAACTTTGATACTCTTTTCTGGGTCAGGTCCACACTATATAGATTTCGAATACACCAAAATTCAGAGGCCCGGTGTGGCAAGGGGCTGTTATAATCCTAGGGGAGTTGTTTGATCATAGGATGAAATTTGATCCTGGGGAGTGACCGAATCCTCCGACACCGAGACCGCTTTCAGGTTTCAGTCACTGCTTCCCTTGTTGTTATTCCATACTTTTCTTGTTTACCATTTGGTCAATTGATGTCTTTGGTTTCTGACTTAACATGATTCTGAACGTTACATTGATCTGTGGATACGCATCCAATAACTGTCATTTGACTGCTTATTACCTGAGACACTTATGCCAGGAAAGCGGAAGGTATCGGGTTCGATACTCGGCAATGCCATACCAATAGACGTTAAAATACGGAACTTGTTACCCACCCCTACAGATACCCACCCCCACATACCCCTGTGAAGATCCGGGTCAGATTTCGTCTTCAACAACCCATGCTTTCGCAAGAGGCGAATAACGAAATCGGGTGGTCAGGCTCGTTGACTTGGGTGATGCATGTCATCGTAACCCAATTGCTTAGGTCGAGGCTTACGATTATCAATACTAAACTAGTGTCCAAAAGAAACGATACCACCTGTTTGCAACGACATAAAAGAAAAACTAAACAATGCAGAAGTTTAGGATTGGTGTTATGCTTTTGAGAAATTCTTTCACAACATCTGTACAAAAATTTCATTTCAATAAAATCTGTACAACCAATATGACAAGCCTTTAAAGATGGGTGGGGTCGAAAAATGAACATCGTTAGAGCACTGATCACAGAAACAACGGGAAATGTCACACCACACGTCTCAAAGTCAAGTCAGTAGCGGGTATGTCCACCGTGAGCATCAATACATGCCAGAACACGCCTACGGACTGATGACGTCAAACGTCTGATGACGTTGGGAGTGATGCGTTGCCATTCCTCGAGGAGACATCGTTCCAAGTCCTGGACGTTGACTGGAGGCACACGGCGACGTCGGATTTGCCGATCGAGGTGGTCCCATAAGTGCGCGATGGGATTCATGTCCGGTGAACATGCGGGCCATGACAAAACCTGTACGTTGCGTTGGCAAGGAAGTTCTGTGTCAATCTTGCTGTGTGTGGCCTTGCATTGTCATGTTGGAAAAGGAGTCCACGAGGCTGTTGCTGAATAAAGGGCACCACACCAGGCCGTAGGATGTCATCAAGATAACGCTGTGCATTCAGGTTTCCACGAATTACGACAAGCATCGTTTTGACGTCACCACATATGCCACCCCAAACCATTAACCCTCCACCTCCAAACGGCCGGACCTGTTGGATACAGTTAGGCGCCAAACGTTCACCAAATCGTCGGTATACAAGCTGCCGTCCATCGTTTCTGAAGATGAGGAATCTGCTCTCATCAGAGAACCTAACACGTGCCCAGTCCCGCCGTTGCCAACGTCGAACTCACCTGGCCCAGATCAGTCTGTTGTTCCGGTGTCGAGGCGTCAGGAGCGGTCCGCGGTAGGGATGACGTGGCCGGATACCATACTGCCGTAGTCTCCTGTAGACGGTCTGTCGACTGATCCTGTGTCCCAGTGCTGTAGCCGCCGTGGACGTCGCTGTTACGGTGCGGTTCCTCAGGTGTAATACCCGGATGTAACGATCTTCACGGGGCGTGGTTACTCGTGGTCTTCCACTCCTGGGCCTGTCTGACGTCTGACCTGTCTGACGTAACCGCTGCATCAACCTGGTGATAGTGATGCGTGCGCAGCCCAACCTTCTGGCGACGTCGACGTGTGACGCTCCTTGTTGGACCATTCCAACGGCTCTCTCTCTCTCGATAGCTGTTAAACGTGGCATATCTTGTGTTCTTTTTGTTGCTGTGATATCAACGTGTCTGATCAGCCGTTTTATACAGTTTTTCTGCACGTGCAGAACATGCTAGAGAGGGAAATGTCACTTTCACGAAATTTACGTTTTTTCCCGGAAGTGATCACGTGTTCCCGGTATTTTTTATCGACTATGCTGTGTTTGGGATGTGCAATACGAATTGGCATGTTTTCATACTTGACAATTCACTTAGTAAAAAACAATTTTGAAAATAAGTTGGTATCGTTTCTTTTGGACACTAGTTTATAACTGTATTGTCGGGTCCACCGCCATAAATCTGGGATATTGATAAGTGCGGCTATAAACAAACAAAACATTATTTGTAGCTTGTACAAACACATCTGTTGAGACATGCCACGGATGCCTTAATTGTGCAGCGTTTTATCAATGATCACCAGAGCACTTTTTCTTTGGAACAATACATTTCCACGTAAGTTCGGCTCCGAAGTGGCAAACCTCGGATGACCACTGTCACCAAGGATCGGTACATCCAGGTACTTCATTTATGATACCGGACCGTGTATAGTTATATGTATATGAAATGATATGATGTGACATGACATGATATGATATGATATGATGCAATTTGTTATGTGTATTATAGAAATTGTGTAAACACTGTTTTTTAGTGTACATATTATATGGCTTGCGGTCTTCCAGTGTTGAATAAAGATTGATTGATTGATATGAAATAAATTGACATGGAATGACATGGCATTATATGGTATAATATGATAAGATATGATGGGACAAGCTATGAAATTGCTAATGTGTTGTGTGATATGACAGGTTGAAATGTGATATAATATAGGTGTGATATATGGTACGATGGTATGTATGGTATATTATGATATGATAATGGTATATGAAATAATACTATATAGTATGATCTTATAATTATGATACAATATGATATGATGTTATAGAATATGTTGTATGATATGGTAATATAGAAATTATGAAATTACAGGGTATGGTATTGTACTGTATGTGTGAAATTTTGTGACTGCGTTGGGATGCGAGGTGGAATGACGTGAGGTTATCTGGTGAGATATGTACATAAATTGTATAAAATTGTATATTCTTCAAATTGTACTATAGGCCTGTGGCTTCTTCAGTATGTGAAATAAAGATGAGATTAGATACCGGACTCCTGCAGCAACTGAAGCTGAAGGTTGATCGGAGTGCCTGGTTTGGGAAGGGCGTCGGCACAAAGGAGCTTCTATCGGACCAGTTCTGATACGGCTACATCAACGTCGACTTCAATTTTGTCGTAAAAAATAAAGGGTCCCCGAAAGATGTGAAAAAATTATTTATAGTGTATATTGTTTGAAAAAAAAATTCTAGTCTCAATATATATCGAAGCCCCTGGGTACTGAGAACAAGAACACTTGTAAACTGGCGTCATGAGTGATTGAGCTATATTGTGACTTTTTCACGATTACTGACATTTTGACACTCCTATTGTGCAGTTTGGCTGCAAGTGACATTGTATTAAATGAGTTATCCTACTTTGAACACAGCAGATAAAATATGGGAGAACATGTATTAACATTTAAGGATTGACTGTATATTTTGTTCGGTTCATTGATTCATACAGTTTGCACATCGGTTTTTCGATTCATACCTCAATGAACCGAACAAAATATACAGTCAATGCTTATAATTAAATTCGACAACGTAAAACATGTTTTATCTACAATAGTTTAACCCAAAACAGTTGCATATATCAAAACAGACAAAAATGACGACATTGATAAACATTCCAGTGTAGGAATACATACAGTGGCGTGACATGAATCAGGTGATCGTTTAATTTTTGCACATAACTTGACACGCCTACACAGTCAGTAGCCAATCAACGGAGAGTGGGATTAAAACAATGTTCATTGGACCTGTCAATTAAGGCAAGAGGCGAAAAGAACTGCAACAGTCAGACTGTAACGAACCGGAAGAAATATGTCCGAGAGAAGGCGGCTGTTTCAAATAACATGGTCATTTACTGCATGATTCAAACATTACTTCCCTGATTACGGTAAAACACAGTTGGAGAAATGCTAGTTAGAAATGAAACCCGAAGACATGAAAGTTGCACCGAGGCGAGCGGGAAAAAATCAGGCGAGCGAACCTGCACGTTTGCTGTTTCATTCATTATCGGCCTTCGGTTTCAAAGGTTAGTTTGGACAATGAATATGCAAGTCGCTAAATGTCCTGTGCATGACGATACACCTCAGCAGAAAGGGAATTCCCTCGACTGTAACATTGGGATTCCCCGACATTCCGCGGTAATAAAAGTAGTGCGCCTCGGTGGGCGTGGCTTAATTCTTTACATTCATTGGGAAATGAATGCAATAACACGTGACCAATTCAGCTGATCAGAATGCAGGAATTTCCATGAACACAACGAAAATTTGATTATTCTCAGTTATTGTAAACGTTGCTCATTGAGGGATAAAACTTGGCCTGAACTTTTCTTTCTACATTGTGTTAGGACAGGTGAGTATTGCAGCGACCTTGGGTTTGTGTTGGTTGGTTTGTTGTTTAACGCCGCACTCAGCAATATTCCAGCTTATTGACGGCGGTCTGTAAATGATCGAGTCTGGACCAGACAATCCAGTGATTGATATCATGAGCATCGATCCACGCAATTGGGATCGATGACATGCATCAACCAAGTCAGCGAGCCTGACCACCCGATCCCGTTAGTCGCCTTTTACGACAAGCATAGTCACCTTTTACGGCAAGCATGGGTTGCTGAAGACCTATTCTACCCCGGAATCTTCACGGGTCCTTGGGTTTGTGCTTGGCAATACTAGTTCACCCCACGCCACTTACAGACTAATACGTGCAATAAAATAATAAATATACGTGTCATCTGTATGTGCAGCGTGCGACAACATCACGACATAGGGACGTACATGATTACTGGGATCCCCGCCTTAAGTATATCTATTGTCCGAACTGGGAACATGGCCACCGCAGGGACTCCTGTGAATGAGTTTGATTTTACGCTGCTTTTGGCAATTTTCCAGCAATATAACGGCGGAGGACACCAGAAATAGGCTTGGACTCTTGTCAAATGTTCTTAAATGATTCGCTCACTTTCACGCGATTTGATAGTGGTTCATAAACACATGCTAATGACATGATCGGAAACGGAAATGGATCCTGTTGAATGAGAGATTTTTTGTGATTATACCGCCGTTATATTGCTGGAATATTTCTAAAAGTGGCGTAACTCACTCACTCTCTTGTGATTATACCGCCGTTATATTGCTGGAATATTGCTAAAAGCGGCGTAACTCACTAACACTCTTGTGATTATACCGCCGTTATATTGCTGGAATATTGCTAAAAGCGGCGTAACTCACTAACACTCTCGTGATTATACCGCCGTTATATTGCTGGAACATTGCTAAAAGTGGCGTAACTCACTCACACTCTTGTGATTATACCGCCGTTATATTGCTGGAATATTGCTAAAAGCGGCGTAACTCACTAACACTCTCGTGATTATACCGCCGTTATATTGCTGGAACATTGCTAAAAGTGGCGTAACTCACTAACACTCTTGTGATTATACCGCCGTTATATTGCTGGAATATTGCTAAAAGCGGCGTAACTCACTAACACTCTCGTGATTATACCGCCGTTATATTGCTGGAACATTGCTAAAAGTGGCGTAACTCACTCACACTCTTGTGATTATACCGCCGTTATATTGCTGGAATATTGCTAAAAGCGGCGTAACTCACTCACACTCTTGTGATTATACCGCCGTTATATTGCTGGAATATTGCTAAAAGCGGCGTAACTCACTCACACTCAATCACACTCAATCATTTCGAACAAATGAATTTTGATCGGTATTTGCCAAAAGAAAGAGCTCTTTCTGTGTATCATGTGACGTCACTGCAATGAACATTGACCCAGTTTTGACAAATTACCACGCTTGGCTTGCACGTGAAAGCTGTCGCCTCGATGTCGACGCGATGCCCGTGGGGGTTATCACACAGATCATGTTGTGTTGAAACGACGTTGAAACAGTCCCGGGACCTATCTGTCTTGAAGAGGTAAGAGATTCTGTCCTATCGGAGTTGCGCGACGTGACATCGGAGTTAAGTCCGCAAATTACAGCTCTATAAACTGAAGTGAACGCAATCAGTTCTAAATGTGGTGAGGTTGAGGTGACAGTAACTCTAATCAAATCTGATATTCACGACTTGAAACATAATCATGACATTATGTACACTGACATTGATGCTGTTACTGATAAGATTGAAACTGTCGTAGAACGTCTATCTAAGATTGATGACGATATGGTGAGGTGAGGTGAAATTGGGTTTAACGTCGCGACCAAGATTATTGCACTTATATAGCGACGTGCATGTACGTGTCTGTGTTTGTGTGGCTGCTTGTACTAGTACGGACTGATGCCAATTTATAGTGCTAGCTCACTGAGATACCATGCCGCAGTTTAACATTAATACCCCACTCAGACACAGTATACTGACTTCGAGCCGACCAGTCCCTTTTTTAGCCTCTTAATGCCGAGCGCCAGACAGGGTAACAACAAGTACCATATTTTAACGTCTTTTGGTATGACGCGGCCGGGGATCGAACCCCGGACCTTCCGCTCTCCGGGCGGACGCTCAACCACTAGACCACGCAGGCGGTCCAGTGACGATATGGACAAACTGGAGTCATTTTGCAGACGTGATAATGTCATTCTCCATGGTGTACCCGAGGCAGAAGGTGAGAAATCGATGGCTTGTAAGGAAACGGTGATGTCATTTTTTAACTAACACTTAACCTTTAAAATGTGGCAACCATCTGACATTATCCGTGCCCATCGCCTTGGAATGTAATGTCTGTCTTGCAGAAAGTAGAAGATTTTACCGAATAATATTTATAAATTATTTGCTGCCCAAATTCAACCAATCTTGTTATATGTATCAGAAGTGTGGGGATTTCAGCGATACGATTGTCTTGAACAGCTACACCTTTTAGCCTGTAAAAAATTCTTATCCGTTGGTCCATCAACACCCAATTGTATGGTCTATGGCGAGTGTGGCAGATACCCGTTATATATCAACTCCCAAACTAGATGCTTGAAATACTGGTTTAATATTCTTGGAATGCATGAAAGCCGAATCCCCAAACATGCTTGTAATATGCTTGTACATTTAGACGACATGGGCAAAGTAACATGGGCATCACATATTAGAAACCTTTTGTTTTCTCATGGCTATGGTTTGTATGGTTAAAGCAAACAGTGGGTGATGTTAAACTCTTTTTGAAACAATTTCGTGAACAATCTATAAATATGTTTTATCAGGAACGGCATTCCACTCTAGAAAACAGGTTAGACTTGTACAGAACGTTTAAGAGTCTTATTGAACCAGAAAAATACTTATCTACATTAACATCAAGAAACTTTCGCGTCTATTTATTCAATTAACATCAAGAAACCTTCGCGTCTATTTATTCAATTTAGGCTCGGATTGTTAGATACCGTGATAAATAAAGGAAGAAAAAATGTCCAATGAAAAGTCGAAGAGGCTGTGCCCATTATGTCATTCAGCTATAGAAAATGAAATTCATTTTACTTTTGTCTGTCCTTGTTATTGTGACCTAAGAAGAAAGTTTATACAAGATGACAAATTATGTCAAACTATCCTGTATCTGCTTTTATTTCTCTTCTTTCTTCAAAGGATGATGCTTTCATATTAAAACTGGCTTTATATGTTAAAAATGCAATTTCCATTAGAAACAAATAGTTAAACATGAGTATATATCCAAATATGTAAACTGCTAATTTGTAACTTTCTTGTATATGGCCCGGAGGCCTTACATGCAATAAATATCTTTGACTTTGACTGGCTCTTCATCAATTGTTTTCCGGATGCTTTCCCCCAAAATAAGTTGATCCCCCTTTCCTTGCCGATATAACTCTAACTACCCCAATGTATGAAATGGACTGTTCCAAATAAACTCTTACAAGCAAAACTACCTTCTTCGCTTAGTCACGTCAACTGAAATGCAAACAATACATTGTTGATCACGCACCGAAATGACCTTTACCTTTTGTCACATGCCGCGGATTAATAGAATATACTCGGAATATGGCCCCTGGTGACATGCGGCGATACATTAGTGTGTGAGCTACATCGGCACTATGTCAGCCATGACTTGCATATCACTAGGTATACATTAACAATACAGCAGCTATTAATAATATCCGTTGCAAACATTTATGAGTCACTGAACGTGAATATAATAAACACAACTCACAACAAAACCCTTTCCACAATTCATCAGAGATCTCTGCTAAAACCAGTGTCGTTTGTACGATTCTGACTACATCATGATCATGTATTTACGTATCACGATTAAATAGTGATGTTATCATGTGTTTGCTAAAGTATAAGCGTGTCCTGCTCTGTCGGTGGCCATCGTGACTTGCATATCACTAGGTATACATTAACAATACAGCAGCTATTAATAATATCCGTTGCAAACATTTATGAGTCACTGAACGGGAATATAATAAACACAACTCACAACAAAACCCTTTCCATAATTCATAAGAAATCTCTGCTAAAACCAGTGTCGTTTGTACGATTCCGACTACATCATGATCATGTGTTTACATATCACTATTAAATAGTGATGTTATTATGTGTTTGCTAAAGTATAAGCGTGTCCTGCTCTGTCGGTGGCCATCGTGACTTGCATATCACTAGGTATACATTAACAATACAGCAGCTATTAATAATATCCGTTGCAAACATTTATGAGTCACTGAACGTGAATATAATAAACACAACTCACAACAAAACCCTTTCCATAATTCATAAGAAATCTCTGCTAAAACCAGTGTCGTTTGTACGATTCCGACTACATCATGATCATGTGTTTACATATCACTATTAAATAGTGATGTTATCATGTGTTGCTAAAGTATAAGCGTGTCCTGCTCGGTCGGTGGCCATCGTGACTTGCATATCACTAGGTATACATTAACAATACAGCAGCTATTAATAATATCCGTTGCAAACATTTATGAGTCACTGAACGTGAATATAATAAACACAACTCACAACAAAACCCTTTCCATAATTCATAAGAAATCTCTGCTAAAACCAGTGTCGTTTGTACGATTCCGACTACATCATGATCATGTGTTTACATATCACTATTAAATAGTGATGTTATCATGTGTTGCTAAAGTATAAGCGTGTCCTGCTCTGTCGGTGGCCGTGCTACAAAGACTTGCACAACAAGTCCATTGTTCACCAGACATCAGACACGGGAACATGGCACTTGTCCGGGTCAGGCAGGGAAGCAATTTGTTATTTTTCTTTGTAAGTGATTATCAGGCAAAAACTATTAACTGGAATTGTTTCCAATATCCCTGACTTATAAGGTCCAAGGTAAACAAGAAAAGGTAAATAATAAAAGGCCCATCTACCAATTGAACGAGATGGCCGTAACGTATCGATGTTCTACATTAAGAATCATAAGCTGACTGACTAGTTACGTAAGTTCCGAAAGTTTCGTAAGTCATATTTGGGCATCCATTCACGAATCCATTCATATAACTGCTGAAGCTTTCCAGACCCTTGGGTTTTACTTCACAAAATATTCCTCTCGTTCAGCATAATGAAACGTGTGGTTCTTATACTATTACAAATTAACTAATTACAGTTACTAAAGATTTTCGTAATCTTTATTGAACATCAGGATTCATTTTAGGTGAGGGGATTCAAAATTAAACTTAGAGCACGATATAAATATTAGAATGATGAATACATATATAGGAAAAGTAGTTCCTGAGTTATACGCAGCAACAATAATAACAAGAAATTCAGGGTATTCAAACCCTCACACGAAGAATGATCCCACCATCCCCACGCGAAGAATCATGTCAGACAATAGATCCCACCACCCTCGCTCTTCCCCCAATCGCTTATATTTACCAATCATAACGAGAGGGCGTGCTTTGATTAACGTGGAGAGGTTTCATGATAGAACTGTTTTGTGCACTTTTGAACACATATATTTGTCTGATGATCCTCTTGTGAAGCATGCAAGTCTCATGATGAAAACAAGGCATTCCAACGTTATTTTTAAACGAGTCAAGGATGTCGGACATAATATCAATGTCAATGTTGATTTTGTTAATGTTTCTGTACTGCTTGACGGTACAGAAATGCTTGTCAACTAAGCGAAGTACCATCTCAAATCGGCCTAGGAGAGGCTATCTGAACGACCACTGTATCGTGTTTGTCAACAAATTGTCAGTGGATGCCCAGGTTTTAGCACAAACGCAGTATTTTAAGCGACATGACGGAGTAGCTCGTTAATTTTATTTCCGATTTTGCCATGCTTGAGGTTTTGACTGAGGTAGATCCATGGAACGAGCCAGAATATGTAGACGGCGTCATGGAAAATGATAAATACACAATTCTTGATACCAGGTGTTAGCGGAAAGGCGAGCCTATCCCACAGGTGGCACCCGTCACAAACACCAAGTCTGAGGCCTCGTATGTGGTAACCGTGATCAAACAAGTTCGGATCAAGAGTTGTATGGTGCTCTTTGAAATCTTGGGAGAAATAGCGTGCCCGATTACCTCAAAAGTTGTGAATGTGGACACTGGAGGGCTGGAGTTACAGGAATATTCCCCGATATAAAGAGAACGTTGATAATTGGAAAGTTGAAGTCACCCCTCTTGCCATACAGTCTTGTGGAGAGTGTTTTGAATCTGTAGGCATAGATCTAAAAATGAAACAGATGAAGCGGTCTCACTGGTCGCCTATATTTCTGGTTCAGGTGGGTAAATTAGTGGAAGGGAAATGGCTATTTGATGGTTATTGAACGATAACTATAACAACAACTATAGTCATACCTATGCCTACCACAACAGCCACAGCTTAAACATCAACTATGTTTGCCGTTAGAAGAAACATGATACGTTACACCGTTCACCTGCGCGAGGTTTCATGTGTTTGCGTTGGGGATTGCTCTACCATGCAGCGGTAGTCTCCCTTTGTATTAACGCGTCTCACAAGGTGCAAAGCTTATCCAGACTAACCTCAGCATGACCTGGCTGTATGTCGATCAAGGTTGGATGTCCGCATGCAATACAGGTAGGCACAGCGAGAACGTATAGCTATACAGAATGTGTCCGATTATTTTCGTGCATCATGATTTATAACAGCTGATTTCTACCATGTTCCTTGTCAGGTTATTTGGTTATTTGGTCTTATTTGGCTCAGTTCTATTCGACGTCAGTACGATCGCTGTTATATATATATAATAACATGTTCTGTTACATGTTATGGCTGTTAGTGTTTAATACATAATCCGACCCGTGAAGGTCCGGGGTAGAATAGGTCTTCGGCAACCCATGATTCCCGAACAGGCCACTATGCGTGTCGTAAGATGCGACTAACGGGATCGGGTGGTCAGGCTCGCTGACTTTTGTTGATGCATGTCATCAATCCCATTTGCGTGGATCGATGCTCATGATGTCAATCACTGGATTGTCTGGCCCTGACTCGATAATTCATAGACCGCCGCCATAAAGCTGTCATATTGCTGAGTGCGGCGTTAAACAACAAACAAACAAAATATCGTATCGTCACGGTATGGCTGGAATATTGCCGCTGTGACGTTAAACTTTAACTCACTCACTGGATGTGTTATTGTGGTTAATGCAAATTGTTACGTGTTATTGATGTGTTATTGTGTTTTATATATGTCTTGTCCCATGTTATGGTTGTGTTCTTGTGTTTTATACGTGTCTTGTGCCATGTTATGGTTGTGTTATTGTGTTATATACATGTTCTGTCGCGTGATACCGTTATGTTATTGTATTATACATGTGTTATAAGGGGGAAAGGCTTTCGACAAACAACATTCAACACGTTGTGTCGTGGTTGCCTTTTGATAATCTTATTCATGACATGCAGAGTACATAATGCATGACATACAGGGTACATAAGCAAGATATACAGAGTACATACAGCATGACATACAGAGTACATAATGCATGACATACAGAGTACATAAAGCATGATATACAGAGTACATACAACATGACATACAGAGTACATAAAGCATGACATACATGGTACATAAAGCATGACATACAGGGTACATAAGCAAGATATACAGAGTACATACAACATGACATACAGTGTACATACACCATGACATACAGAATACAAACAGCATGACATACAGAGTACATAAGCATGACATACAGGGTACATAAAGCATGACATACAGAGTACATAAAGCATGACATACAGGGTACATAAAGCATGACATACAGAGTACATAAAGCATGATATACAGGGTACAAACATCATGATATACAGAGTAAATACAGCATGTCATACAGAGTACAAACAACATGACATACAGAGTACATAAAGCATGATATACAGGGTACATAAAGCATGACATACAGAGTACATAAAGCATGATATACAGAGTACATAAAGCATGACATACAGAGTACATAAAGCATGACATACAGGGTACATAAAGTATGACATACAGAGTACAAACAGGATAACATACAGAGTACATAAAGCATGATATACAGGGTACATAAAGCATGACATACAGGATACATAAAGCATGATATACACAACACATAAAGCATGTGATATATAGAGAATACTACACTCATTCTCGTTGGATACCATGTTTACGAGTTGACTATGTAAGGTATCACATCGAAAGCGAGGTCAGACACCATAGAATGTTCATCAGTTTCGTAAAAATGGCATATAACGAGAAATGAGTGTGGTATGTTATATTCATTGCGTTGAATGTGTATTAAAGTGTTAATACAAAACAACTTTCGTTCGTTCCTGCTATTGCATGTGCAAACATGGCAGCACCAGCCCTCAAGATTTTTAAACTTATGGTCATTCTAGCGCATTGTTGTTAGTACGCAGGATAACTGAAAGAAAACTTGAAAAGTCAGTTAGCGCCGCACTGGAGTCGCTAGAGATCAACAGGTAATGGTATTGTTCACATTTCGGATGTTTTGGGCCACAAAAACAGAAATCAGGCAAACTTCCACGTAGTTTTCGAATGATTGGCATCGGAACTGTTCACTCTGAGTGAGTGATCTGGTCGTGCAGTCGTGTATGTTCATTCATGAACAAACATCTTCAATGTCACAAAATGTCTCAAAATACGATTCGAAGGGGACAGTGATGGCACAACCGGAGCATTCAACGTAAGTCTAGATATCTGTCCAGAAAGTTCAAACTGACTTCATTTCACCATGCCTAACGTTTTACGTTACGGCCTCGATCTATCGGCAGTCGTACATTGCAATTGGCTACGGCTCGATTATATGTCTGTAGAAGCTTTATCCATAACTAATATAGAATGCACAGCGAAGTTGATGAGTGTGACTATCGTGTTTGGTTACATAAAGTGTTGTAGGTGTCTCTCGCTTTCATGAGATCCTCCAGCACTGCCTTGTAGCTGTAAAAGTGAATGACGTCTCGTGATAGTTTTACAAATGAAAAAAGTAGTTCCGGTATGACAGAGGTCACGGTTATCTAATCAAAAAGAATAACAAAAGGTCAACCTTGTACGACACGTGTGACGCATTGATTTAGTATCCTACCACCTGTGTCTTCACCACGTGAGTACTAAAGAGTGTACCAATCATGAGATGTAGAATCCATAAATCATGAGATATAGAATACATACGAACACAAAGGGAATCAATAAACGGAGAATAACAAGTAAGCAACTCTCATAAATTGTCCATCACGATACAGACGTGTGTGCCTGGTTTGATATAGTGCATTAGTGGAGTGTGAGAAAGGTTTGAAAGGTTTGAAAACTTTTTAAAGATGGTTTCATCGTTATGAGAGCTGGGCGGGCTTTACGGTCGAGTCGAACCTCGGTGCTGCCAGTTACCTTTTCTGGGATGAGCCTGTCTTGTCCAGTTAGTTGTGTATTCTGAGATAAACTGTAGCTTAGTACAGTTAATTTGAGTCTAAACCTTGCGTTAATACCTGTATGAATGTGCGACGGTACATGTTTATGTAGGTAATTAGAACAACGGTCGTCGAATCCAGCGCTTCTTGAAGGGCAATACGAGATGCAGAGTAATGTCTTTGACTGACCATGGTGACATGGAACGACAATAGGAGTTGCAGAGTAATGCCATGGACTGACCATGGCGACATGGAAGGACAATAGGAGTTGCAGAGTAATGCCATGGACTGACCATGGCGACATGGAAAGACAATAGGAGTTGCAGAGTAATGTCTTGAACTGACCCCGCTCTTTTTTAAACGGGTTGGAATACATTTGCGGAAAGAACGTATTGTTAAAGGGGAGCACCCATCTCAGCTTCAGCGACGATGTACAGTTGCCTTACTCTGTCTATAAGTATATCAACTGCACTTACAGATTTACATTGTGTTATTGTGTTTCGTACATCCTCTGTTACATGTTCTGGTGTGTTTTTGTGTTGCATACACGTTCTGTTACATGTTATCATTGAGTTATTGTGATTCATAAATGTTTGGGCACGCCAGAAACCTATGATTGTGGGTTCGAATCCCGGTTCGCCCCGATTATGTTTCTAGGATTGTCAGCACCATACCCGTGCTCGTGGGTTTCACCGAAGTGGTAAACGTCTGAGACCTGCACCACTTCGGGCTTTCCTCCCACATTAAGCTGACACGCCGCGATATAACTGGATATAAAAGCGGCGTTAAACCCGACTCACTCACTCATAAGTGTTCTGTTACATGTTCTGGTGTGTTATTGTGATTCATAAATGTTCTGTTACATGTTCTGGTGTGTTATTGGGTTTCATATATGTTGTTTTACATGTTATCGTTCTGTTATGCTGTGCCATAAATGTTCTGGTGTGTAATTGTGGTTTAACATGTTCTGTTACAATTTATGGTCTTTTTGTATTTCGTACATGTTTTGGATTGTTGAGTTCATTCATTCTATGTCACAGGTGTGCTACTGTGTTCACAGCTTTATTTACAATCCGAGATATGGCTGTGAGGGCAAGGCAGACAGTGGACGGTGGCTTTGCTTGGGTCGTGTTGTTCGCCATCTTCTGTGTCATGGTATTGTTGGGGATCATGCAGTACTCGGCGGGGGTTCTGAACACGGCCATTCTAGAGGAAATAGACAACGACCTCTCGAAGACATCATGGGTTGGGTCGACCATGCTTGGCACCCTGACTTTGACAGGTAAGTGTGGGTTTGTTTCTCAATATATACCGTAATAACAGGAACTTATATATTGATCACCTTTTCACCCTCAGATTGTATTAAATGAGTGACCTGGGTTTTACTCCGCGTTTAGTAATCTTTCAGCAATACCATGGCGGGGGCCACTAGAAATTGGCTATACACATTGTAGAGTTATCGAATTCGGGCCTTAGGCGTGATGAGCATATGATGTAACCACTAGGCAACCCACCAATGTACATGCCTTTGGAAATGACACATCGCTTTCTTCTTGTCAACAACAAGATCATTATCAAGCGAACATCTTTTGACGTGATCGCCATTGTATTGCATAGTCTCTGCAATAACTTGTTTGTGACATATAATGTCTGTAAAATATTCTGTTTGGCAAAAGAAAATATACACCCATGAATGAATAAATGGGTTTAGTTCCTCAAGATACATCCGAAGATTCTCAAAACATCAAGATTATGTAACTAAATAATTAAATAACAAAATAATCAAACATGAGTTGAAAATCCCACCCAGTTTACGAACTTCTTGCCTGGAACGATCATATTGCCTCCAATGTCGAGACAAGGATAGCTCACTTGGTTTCTGATGGCGTTGTTGCACATAAAGAGAACTTCAGTTTTATCACAGTTTAATTTGAGCTGGGTACACGTGACCATATCTACGGCTGTATCTACAGATGCACCTGCAATAATGTTACGTGTACCCAGCTGCATCTACAGATGCACCTGCAATATGGTCACGTGTATACAGTTGTATCTATAGATGCACCTGCAATATGGCCACGTATACCCAGATGCATCTACAGAGGCACCTGCAATATGGTCACGTGTACCCAGCTGTATCTACAGATGCACCTGCAATATGGTCACGTGTATACAGTTGTATCTATAGATGCACCTGCAATATGGCCACGTGTACCCAGATGCATCTACAGAGGCACCTGCAATATAGTCACGTGTATACAGTTGTATCTATAGATGCACCTGCAATATGGTCACGTGTACCCAGATGCATCTACAGAGGCACCTGCAATATGGTCACGTGTACCCAGCTGTATCTACAGATGCACCTGCAATATGGTCACGTGTATACAGTTGTATCTATAGATGCACCTGCAATATGGCCACGTGTACCCAGATGCATCTACAGAGGCACCTGCAATATAGTCACGTGTACCCAGCTGTATCTACAGATGCACATGCAATATGGTCACGTGTACCCAGCTGTATCTACAGATGCACCTGCAATATGGTCACGTGTATCCAGCAGTATTTACAGATGCACCTGCAATATGGTCACGTGTATCCAGCTGTATTAACAGATGCACCTGCAATATGGTCAGGTGTACCAAGATGCATCTACAGATGCACCTGCAATATGGTCACGTGTATACAGTTGTATCTATAGATGCACCTGCAATATGGTCACGTGTATACAGATGTATCTACAGATGCACGTGCAATATGGTCACGTGTACCCAGATGCATCTACAGAGGCACCTGCAATATGGTCAGGTGTACCCAGCTGCATCTATAGTTGCACCTGCAATATGGTCACGTGTATCCATCTGTATCTACAGGGGCACAAGCAATATGGTCACGTGTACCAAGATGCTTCTACAGATGCACCTGCAATATGGTCAGGTGTACCCAGCTGTATCTACAGATGCACCTGCAATATGGTCACGTGTATCCAGCTGTATTTACAGATGCACCTGCAACATGGTCAGGTGTACCCAGATGCATCTACAGATGCACCTGCAATATGGTCACGTGTATCCATCTGTATCTACAGGGGCACAAGCAATATGGTCACGTGTACCAAGATGCATCTACAGATGCACCTGCAATATGGTCACGTGTACCCAGCTGTATCTACAGAGGCACCTGCAATATGGTCACGTGTATCCAGCTGTATTTACAGATGCACCTGCAATATGGTCACGTGTACCCAGCTGTATCTACAGAGGCACCTGCAATATGGTCACGTGTATCCAGCTGTATTTACAGATGCACCTGCAATATGGTCACGTGTATCCAGCTGTATTTACAGATGCACCTGCAATATGGTCAGGTGTACCCAGATGCATCTACAGATGCACCTGCAATATGGTCACGCGTATACAGTTGTATCTACAGATGCACCTGCAATATGGTCACGTGTATCCATCTGTATCTACAGGGGCACAAGCAATATGGTCACGTGTACCAAGATGCTTCTACAGATGCACCTGCAATATGGTCTCGTGTACCCAGCTGTATCTACAGATGCACCTGCAATATGGTCACGTGTATCCAGCTGTATTTACAGATGCACCTGCAATATGGTCAGGTGTACCCAGCTGCATCTATAGTTGCACCTGCAATATGGTCACGTGTATCCATCTGTATCTACAGGGGCACAAGCAATATGGTCACGTGTACCAAGATGCTTCTACAGATGCACCTGCAATATGGTCTCGTGTACCCAGCTGTATCTACAGATGCACCTGCAATTTGGTCACGTGTATCCAGCTGTATTTACAGATGCACCTGCAACATGGTCACGTGTATCCAGCTGTATTTACAGATGCACCTGCAATATGGTCACGTGTACCCAGATGCATCTACAGATGCACCTGCAATATGGTCACGCGTATACAGTTGTATCTACAGATGCACCTGCAATATGGTCACGTGTATCCAGCTGTATTTACAGATGCACCTGCAATATGGTCAGGTGTACCCAGATGCATGTACAGATGCACCTGCAATATGGTCACGTGTATACAGTTGTATCTATAGATGCACCTGCAATATGGTCACGTGTACCCAGCTGTATTTACAGATGCACCTGCAATATGGTCACGTGTATACAGCTGTATCTACAGATGCACCTGCAATATGGTCTCGTGTACCAAGATGCATCTACAGAGGCACCTGCAATATGGTCACGTGTACCCAGCTGTATCTATAGATGCCCCTGCAATATGGTCACGTGTATCCATCTGTATCTACAGGGGCACAAGCAATATGGTCACGTGTACCAAGATGCATCTACAGATGCACCTGCAATATGGTCACGTGTACCCAGCTGTATCTACAGAGGCACCTGCAATATGGTCACGTGTATCCAGCTGTATTTACAGATGCACCTGCAATATGGTCACGTGTATCCAGCTGTATTTACAGATGCACCTGCAATATGGTCAGGTGTACCCAGATGCATCTACAGATGCACCTGCAATATGGTCTCGTGTACCCAGCTGTATCTACAGATGCACCTGCAATTTGGTCACGTGTATCCAGCTGTATTTACAGATGCACCTGCAACATGGTCACGTGTATCCAGCTGTATTTACAGATGCACCTGCAATATGGTCACGTGTACCCAGATGCATCTACAGATGCACCTGCAATATGGTCACGCGTATACAGTTGTATCTACAGATGCACCTGCAATATGGTCACGTGTATCCAGCTGTATTTACAGATGCACCTGCAATATGGTCAGGTGTACCCAGATGCATGTACAGATGCACCTGCAATATGGTCACGTGTATACAGTTGTATCTATAGATGCACCTGCAATATGGTCACGTGTACCCAGCTGTATTTACAGATGCACCTGCAATATGGTCACGTGTATACAGCTGTATCTACAGATGCACCTGCAATATGGTCTCGTGTACCAAGATGCATCTACAGAGGCACCTGCAATATGGTCACGTGTACCCAGCTGTATCTATAGATGCCCCTGCAATATGGTCACGTGTATCCATCTGTATCTACAGGGGCACAAGCAATATGGTCACGTGTACCAAGATGCATCTACAGATGCACCTGCAATATGGTCACGTGTACCCAGCTGTATCTACAGAGGCACCTGCAATATGGTCACGTGTATCCAGCTGTATTTACAGATGCACCTGCAATATGGTCACGTGTATCCAGCTGTATTTACAGATGCACCTGCAATATGGTCAGGTGTACCCAGATGCATCTACAGATGCACCTGCAATATGGTCACGTGTATACAGATGTATCTACAGATTCACCTGCAATATGGTCACGTGTACCCAGATGCATCTACAGAGGCACCTGCAATATGGTCACGTGTACCCAGCTGTATCTATAGATGCACCTGCAATATGGTCACGTGTATCCATCTGTATCTACAGGGGCACAAGCAATATGGTCACGTGTACCAAGATGCATCTACAGATGCACCTGCAATATGGTCACGTGTACCCAGCTGTATCTACAGATGCACCTGCAATATGGTCACGTGTACCCAGCTGTATCTACAGATGCACCTGCAATATGGTCACGTGTATCCATCTGTATCTACAGGGGCACAAGCAATATGGTCACGTGTACCCAGCTGTATCTACAGATGCACCTGCAATATGGTCTCGTGTACCCAGCTGTATCTACAGATGCACCTGCAATATGGTCACGTGTATACAGATGTATCTACAGATGCACCTGCAATATGGTCACGTGTATCCAGCTGTATTTACAGATGCACCTGCAATATGGTCACGTGTACCCAGCTGTATTTACAGATGCACCTGCAATATGGTCACGTGTACCCAGCTGTATCTACAGATGCACCTGCAATATGGTCACGTGTATACAGATGTATCTACAGAGGCACCTGCAATATGGTCACGTTTACCCAGCTGTATCTACAGATGCACCTGCAATATGGTCACGTGTATCCAGCTGTATTTACAGATGCACCTGCAATATGGTCACGTGTACCCAGCTGTATCTGCAGAGGCACCTGCAATATGGTCAGGTGTACCCAGCTGTGTCTACAGATGCACCTGTAATATGGTCACGTGTACCCAGCTGTATCTACAGATGCATATGGGCACATGTATACAGATGTATCTACAGATGCACCTGCAATATGGTCACGTGTATACAGATGTATCTACAGATGCAGCTGCAATGAGGTCACGTATACCCAGCTGTATTTACAGATGCACCTGCAATATGGTCACGTGTACCCACCTGTATCTACAGAGGCACCTGCAATGATGTCACGTGTACCCTGCTGTATCTACAGATGCACCTGCAATATGGTCACGTGTATCCAGCTGTATTTACAGATGCACCTGCAATATGGTCACGTGTACCCAGCTGTATTTACAGATGCACCTGCAATATGGTCACGTGTACCCAGCTGTATCTACAGATGCACCTGCAATATGGTCACGTGTATACAGATGTATCTACAGAGGCACCTGCAATATGGTCACGTTTACCCAGCTGTATCTACAGATGCACCTGCAATATGGTCACGTGTATCCAGCTGTATTTACAGATGCACCTGCAATATGGTCACGTGTACCCAGCTGTATCTGCAGAGGCACCTGCAATATGGTCAGGTGTACCCAGCTGTGTCTACAGATGCACCTGTAATATGGTCACGTGTACCCAGCTGTATCTACAGATGCATATGGGCACATGTATACAGATGTATCTACAGATGCACCTGCAATATGGTCACGTGTATACAGATGTATCTACAGATGCAGCTGCAATGAGGTCACGTATACCCAGCTGTATTTACAGATGCACCTGCAATATGGTCACGTGTACCCACCTGTATCTACAGAGGCACCTGCAATGATGTCACGTGTACCCTGCTGTATCTACAGATGCACCTGCAATTTGGTCACGTGTACCCAGCTGTATCTACAGATGCATCTGCAATATGGTCACGTGTAACCAGTTGTATCTACAGATGCATCTGCAATATGGTCACGTGTATACAGATGTATCTACAGAGGCACCTGCAATATGGTCACGTGTACCCAGCTGTATCTACAGATGCACGTGCAATATGGTCACGTGTATCCAGCTGTATTTACAGATGCACCTTCAATATGGTCAGGTGTACCAAGATACATCTACAGATGCACCTGCAATATGGTCACGTGTACCCAGATGCATCTAGGTGGAACCTGCAATATGGTCACGTATACCCAGCTGTATCTACAGATGCACCTGCAATATGGTCACGTGTACCCAGCTGTATCTACAGATGCACCTGCAATATGGTCACGTGTACCCCGCTGTAGCTACAGATGCACCTGCAATATGGACACGTGTACCCAGCTGTATCTACAGATGCACCTGCAATATGGTCACGTGTATACAGATGTATCTACAGAGGCACAAGCAATATGGTCACGTGAACCCAGCTGCATCTACAGATGCCCCTGCAATATGGTCACGTGTATACAGCTGTAGCTACAGATGCACCTACAATATGGTCACGTGTATACAGATGTATCTACAGAGGCAGCTGCAATATGGTCAGGTGTACCCAGCTGCATCTACAGATGCACCTGCAATATGGTCACGTGTATCCAGCTGCATCTACAGATGCACCTGCAATATGGTCACGTGTACCCAGCTGTAGCTACAGAGGCACCTGCAATATGGTCACGTGTATACAGATGTATCTACAGATGCACATGCAATATGGTGATCCATATATTTACTGATCATGTAAATTTTCATACATGTGTAATACGGGGATAATCTCTGACGTTTCTCAGCTTATATGAAATACTCCTATACTGTATTCTCAATGATTGTATTGGCTCAAAGTTAGAAGACATCTGGTCATTCTGACATGTCTCAACATAGTTTAAACTAACACCTACGTCCAATTTGCAGTAGGGGCAGATATGATCATTTTCAAAAATAAAACTCATTTAATATGGTCACCTTATGCACCATTGTTACAGCCACATGGCATGTTCTGAAGCTATATAGCATGAGGTACTTGAGTCATTGTTGATTCTAGGTCCCGTGGCTGGCCTGATCACCAAAGCATTGGGATATAGAGCGTCTTGCTTTGCTGGAGGGATATTGATGCTCATAGGATTCACTGCTGCATCCTTTGTTAATGACGTCACTGGACTCATTCTCACATTTGGTGTTATAGCAGGTAAGTGTAGATATTCAAGAGAGCACTGAAGCATTATTTGAACAGGTTCCAATTTAAATAGCAACTTATCCAATGTGTAAAGGATCACTGCGCCTACTGATCAAATCAAGGACATCATATTTGATTTTCTTGGACCATAAAAGACTGACTGTTTTACTCCGTTATATTGTTCTGCAATATCAGTCGAATGAAGGGAGGATTTTGTCAACGCCACCATATTAAAGATTCTGGAATCAAGACAGAAAAGATCTAACTTCACAGAATCCGCATCATTGAAATTGCCCCATTCAACTCGTATTTTTCAATCCTCTACCGTTTGGTGTTCAATTACTTACCAATGGAAGTGCAGTAGTAGTATAGGTAATGATGGTTCTGTACCAATTCCACTGGAGCCAGATTTATATACCTACACTGCTACTACAGAGGGATTTTTTTTATGCAAAAACGATGATATGATTCAATGATCGTCATGATTCGTATTGAAAGAAACATCAATATTAATTAATAATGGATAAAATTTACTATAGCCCACGAGGCTATTGGAAAGGTATAGGAGCAATACAAAAATTAGCAACTGCGGCTAAGGTATCTAAAGATGTGGCCAAGGATTGGTTAAAGAAAAAAGTGATGTGGCAAATATACTTACCAGCACCGCGTTATGTACCGAGGAAGAAGTTTGATATTTTTACAATTTTTTGCTGACCTCTTGTTTCTCCCCCATGATAAGGTAAGATGCAAAACGTTTAAATATGCTTTAACCGTAGTGGATGTGGCTAGTCAATACAAAGAGGCTGAACCATTAACCTCGAAAAATTCAACAGAAGTAGCTAATGCATTGAGCCGCCTATATAAACGCGGACCACTAAAATGGCCAAAGCTATTTCAAGTTGATCCTGGTCGCGAGTTTATGGGATCAGTAACTGAACTGTTAACAAAGCACTATGTTGAAATCAGGCGTGGTGAAAAAGAGGCCCACTATAGTCAAGCTACCGTTGAAAGATTTAACCAAACATTAGCGGAACGTTTGTTTGGCTATCAGTATGGGATTGAAATGAAATCAGAACGATTAAGATCTACCGAATGGGTGACACGATTATCAGCTGTTGTATCAGCGCTAAGTAATGAAGTAAAGAGATTAATAGGGAAGAAACCATCCGATACAATTAAAATGAAATCTGTGACTTCCGAATCTTCAGCACTGCGGAGAGGCAAAGAACAAAAACTTCTGCATAGAGTAAGTGTAAGATATTTATACCAGCCCGTTGAACTCGAAGGATGTCTATGTCGCACAACCCATCCGATTTGGTCCCTGAAGATATATAACATTAGCGGTTTGTTACGAAAGAAGGCGAGACGATTCTTTATTATCTTAAAGATGGACCGGGCAAGGGATTTGTACGAGAAGAGTTGCTCACAGTTCCCAACAATACAGTATTACCACCATAATCATAAGCATAGGTAGTTACACCATCATTATCAATCCATCTCTTTGTATCTAAGGGGGATAATGATGTCTTGTTCATTCTTAATCCATATATGCTGTGATTGTCACTTCTGAAAGTGTTCATCTTGTGTTTGAATGTTCTGCCATTGAAATATGCTTCTTTATACTGTTCGGGTTTGATATGCTTTTTCACCACATATATCTTAACACCCATAGCTTTTCTTATCTCCCCATTAACAGGCTTCTTTATAGAATATATCTTAGGTCTTAATCCGACATACTCCCAGCACATTCATCCTTCATCTTACATAATACCCTTTCATTTACCACGCTGTTCAGTGGATTACTGCTTCTTAAATTTGTTGTAATAAAAGTCATACATTAAGTGTTTTGGCAAGGCAAGAATACTCATACCAACGTACACCTGTATGTTGAATTTTATATTACTTTTCTGCATATGCAGTGCTGCTAAGTCGTTATCGAATATCTTGCTTCTGTTAAAAGCCGGACTGGCTATAAGTTTCCAGAGTCCTTCTTCCTCTTAGACCTGACTAATTTAACATCAACACGCTTCCTCAGATTCTCCATAGTTTTTTCCAAATACTGAGTTATTCATGAGCTTATAAAGATTCTTTTTGAAATCGCTGGTAGCCCTCTTTCTTAAATCTGTGCTCAGCCTTATATAGGGCTCCATCCAAGGGCTTTTATCGAACTTAAGAACTCTGTATATTTTCTTTAGTTTCATGCCTAACAATAGATGTAACTGAAGATTTCTGTAGTTAACTATATATTTTGTCTTATCCATCAAATTTGGTACGAGTTTTTCTACGTTAGCTTATCTAGTATTACCCATCAAGGAGTGTTGATATTCTGACATCCAATCTTTATTAACCATTAATCTTTCGGGAGCTAGCGGATAACTATTATGGTCTTTATGTAACTCTGTTGAATATTCTAAGTCAACTTCTAGTATGTACCCTTGATCGGAATGTGCAGGGATATCATTCACATTGATATTATGAAAATTATTCCCATCAATATTGTGGATATGATTCACATCGACCCACTCAAAACCACCAGTTGGTAAAGGTTGACTCTTAGACCATCCGTACAAATTGTTGGCGTCGAGATATTATATGTGCGTATCAGGTTTACTTGGATCATATCCTTCTGATAATTTATTATTAGCTTAAGAATACGTTTTCGGCGACATCGACATAACACCTCTTAATCATTTCTCAACAAACAAGTGCATATCATAATTGGTGAGTAATTTTAGTTCTACACCTGTCTTCTTCAACAATACATACCACGATAGCATGGGACTGAAATAGTACCATGCCGGGTCCAAGACGTATTGTTTTAAACATGTCTTTCTAAATATCTCGAATATATCTGTGAGTAACAATACATCGGTTTTTAAGTACAGATCATGATAATCACCTAAATTCTTACAACCTATATTATCCCACACGGTCACAGTGTGTTCATAATAGGCATCGGTTATTTTAGATTCTGTTAAGTTACTATAGAATGTTTCAATGGGTGGTAATTTAGTTTCATCAAATCTAGACCAATTATCCATATATTCATAAGGATATACACCTTTTCGTAGCAACAAATGCCGTGTTATCTGATCAGTATATTGATTTGTTATTGTAAAGTCACTGGGATTGCTCGCATTAGCTAAATTGTCCAGGGAAGATAACAGAAACTGTACGGAGTCTATGAATCTAAGTCCGTTACTATGTTTTGTTCTGGCTTTCCCATCCTTGTCTGTATAATGTATAGTTTTAGTCAGCGAGAATGATATATGTTTTTCCATATTATTAGGAATGCATGTTAAACCACCGTTTGTCTTTGAGATGATGAGCTTGCATGATGAGATGAGAATCATATCCCCTAAGGTTATGAAACACAATGGGGATGGGTGTTGTTTGAGAATTCGTTTTTATTTTTTCAAGTTACACTTGTCATGCACGGCTCCCCGATAATTACCCTTGATGTGACAATGATCTCTAAGGGAATCCCCATTGAGGGGTTTACAAACATGACAAATCGCTGACTTCTTATAGGCCCTCCAATCATCCCTCATCATACACATCGGTTTCTTATGCGATGAATTTTCCCTGATTATTCTCTCTTCATTTTGTAGATATTCTAGGAACTTTCCCACTGAATCAGGACCTCTGTAAATCACGAGCGGGTTTGTTTTCCCATCATACTTTACAACTATATATCCAAACCCACAAGGAATATGTTCTTGAGTTTTGTATGTAAAACTACATTCATTATTATGTTCGGTATTTTCTATCGGTTTGATAAGCACTTCGAAGTCAGAGTAAATTATGTACGGCACTGGCATTTGATTGGAAAAAATGTTCAAATTATAATATATTTTTCCCTCTGTAGGCATATCGATCCTGATAGCAGTCTGTCCAACACCTCTGCAGTCTTCTTTATGCGCTTCTAATAGATCTTGTCTGCTCTACCCATGCAGGCATCTTCGCAGAAATATTTCTTTCTCTCATGTTTTGTTTGATCATATAATAGCCTGCTTAAACTCTTTATCCACGTATAATAATATTTACCATCTTTTTTTTATCAGAAAAGAATTGATTCTGTGAATATGTTCTAGGGCGGAGCTTATCCTGTGTACAACAATTCCTTTAGGAGAATGTCCTAAAACATTTATAGCTAAATTATTTGCTTTTCCGCCTTATGAATTTGCGAGATTGGTGTAGGTTTGTCTATAACATAAAGGTTGAGTCCGTCAATGGGCTTAACATCATTAACATCCATGTTGGAATTAATATCCAACTTCCAACCTCTTACGTATTTACCAACGCTGGCTGTGGGTACAAATCTTAACTCAACAGGTTGATTTTTATCAACATCAATTGGTTGATTTTTATCAACAACAGCGGGTTTATTATTCATTCAGTAAAGCGATCAATTCAGCTTTTCTCATTCGAAAATAACCTCTCAGCCCACTTTTTTCGCTTGAGCTTTGAGTTCTCTAACAGTCTGGGTTTTGTCTTATTTCAAACTGATTAAATCAATAAATTCAGCTTTTCTCATTCAAGAATAACCATGTAGACCACGATGATTTGCCAAAGCCTTGAACTCTCTGACAATAACCATTGTGATGTAATGGAATATGCAAAATGAGTCAAATGTCTAAATGGTTATATTTTCATATATCTAAACACGTATTCTCCCCAACCTATTCCTCTCGTTGATGTAATCGCTTTTCCTAGTGTAAATAATCGGGTTCCTGACCCTATCAGCGCCGTGTTTCTTGCATAAACAATAACGACCTTTGACCCCTATCCTGCATACAAAACAGGAATAATTTACATTTCCTTGTCTGATGTAATAAGCATGAATACCACAATATATACCGACAAATCGTCTGTTGCATTGAATTGATTTTCCCATGAGTGTGAATCTTCACAGATTCATGGTTATACACCTATCATATCATTTGTCTAAATGCAAATCACACCTCCACTCAGCCTCATGGTGCGTCATGGCTATTTATGTTGCCAGATGA